TGTTTTTTTTGTGTGGGGGGGGGGGGAACTATGTGGATCTATGTGGCACCGAGGTGAAGTTCCTGCTGTATGCAGATGATTTCCTACATGACAACATAGTTGAATTATGAGCTTTGTGGTGGCATCTCTTTAAAAGGGGACATGTGGATTTTATGACCTCCTATTACTGTCACTAACAGAGAGAGAGAGGCCAACAAGACAGCCTGGAAGTGCGGGAGAAATACAGTGCGGCATGGGCACTGCCCATCAACCCGAAGAAAATAAAAGCCATGGCTTTCCAAATGAAGAACACGAGAATCAAGAGTTCTTCCTTTACATTAAACAACTGCATTCTGGATCAATCTAATAGTTACACTTACCTCGGCCCAGATATAAGCCAACCAGAATGTTTCAAACCAGCCATAGAGTGCCTGAAAGACAAAGGCATGAGGAACCTTCTATGCCATCAGGAGATAACTGTACCATCCAAAACCATCATATGAGTCTGGCTTAAAATCATTGACAGTGTCATCACTCCATACCCCCTTGATATATGGGGCCCAACACCTGCCCAAATCAACCCGAAATGAGACTCCAGCCCAAAACAAACAGAAAAAAACTTCATCTGGACTTTTTGAAGCACCTCGGTCAGGTCCATCGGAGTGCCCCCAACAATGCTTGACAGGCTGACCTGTACAGATTCCTTTTGCAGTACAGAAGACGCCACTATCATACTAGGACTATGGGACCACCAACAAAACAGCAGCTCCAACTGATTCCACCTTAAAGCCCTACTGACCAACAAGGACCACTCCAAACCATGCGGCCTGCAGCAGCTCATCACCACCTCGTCCATCCAAAACATATCGGCCTGACAAAATATCACATAAAGCAAATAATGAACGATTCCAAAAAATATGTCAGAGAAAGTAGAAATGAGATAATAAATTCCCAGGAATGACTTACCAGTCACTGCAAAGATACTACAGGCCTGGATATACTACAAGACCCCAGATAGGACAGACATGCCATATGTGCAGGGGCATATCTGCCGCGAGGCAAACAAGGCGTTTGCCTGGAGCGGCAGATTCCCTGAGAGCGGCAATTGCTGTGGTTCTCTTCCCTTGACAAATTTTATTTATCAAGGGAAGAGAACCGGAGGCTATGGTAGCGGCGGGGACGAGGCCGGCGGGTTGCGGCGGTGTCCAGGCAGTGGTTGCCGGCGCTTTGAATGCCGGGTGAGTGATCGCCGGAGGGGGTTGTCTATGGAGGCTTGTTATTAGTGAAATGGTGACCATTGCTCATGAGGAACGGGTTAAGATTCCCCAGAAGCTGGTGTCTGTCTACGCATCTCATTCCCAGCAGGTCATAACAGCAGAAGAAAGTTCTACTAAGGACGCTTGCCATGAAGGGGCTGAATCATTTCCAGACTGCAGAAGTCTTTAAAAGTTACCTTTTCAGTTGAATTTGGGGAAACTACAGGAAACATTTGCCGTGTTGACCTATTTCAATTGCTTGTGTTTGATTTGTTAATTGCAAACAGCTGAAAGTTTGTCGATTTTGCCAGTAAATCTGAGTTGTAATGTGGTAGGTGGGGTCATTTTGATTACACCTGTATATAGGAGACAGTCATTTTAGTGTCACCCCCTCTGAAAAGTTGGGCACTCGGTCATGGACCAAGAGCCCGACAGTAGCAGGAGAGAGGAGGAGACCCGGCGGCATACCTTATCCCACTGGGTGAACGTCCCCTCCTCTCTCTGCCGGCGTCCATCACCAAGATGGCTGATGGCAGGTATCACAAAGATGGTCTCGCATGCACGCGATGCCGTCACAGCGGGGTGTCACCCGGTATCCGCTCTGGGTGACACCCTGCCTCAGCACGCCTCTGAAAGACAGTGCTTATTGTTCCCGGGAAACGGTGACAGTAAGCAGCCTTAGACTGCACAGTCTACTGATATTCACATCGCCGGGATGCAAAAATGGTTGCTCTGGGCAACATCAGAATCCTCCTGTGATTGGTTGCTGTTGATTACAGAGAAATAACTTTGTATCTTCTTCTTCTTGTACAGCATCCACACCTCTGCCATCTGGAGGTCAGGACTGGTAGTTCATTTGAATACATTTTAGCCCTGAACCTTATAGCATAGAGGACGGTGTTTTAAAGCTGAGCACACACGCTACAATCTGATTGTAAGGAAGGGATTGTTTTCCAACAGATGTGAATTTTGAAAACTGCAATTTGCGCTGGCGGTCCCTTTAAATTAAATGTCCCAGCGACAGCTGGACACGTGATTACACGGACTGCTTTCATGGCTAAGGGGCGGGACTATCAATCAGGGGGCGGTGCCGCTCCGACACGGAGCACGTCACGCACACACTGGCCGCGCAGCAGGGGAGGGGGCGGAGCTTAGGTTAAAGAAGCCACCCCTGCTGCCTCATTAGATTCGGTGGTGACGTCACTGGTGGTCAGCTGGTGGAGTGTGAGCGGCGTTGTGCGGGGTGAGTTCAGGTAAAGGCAGAGCCGAGCACACTGCTTACTCCCGTGCAGAGCCCGAGAGAGCAGGGGGTGCGGGGTTTGCAGCGGGGATGCGGGCACAGGGTGGCAGCGAGCTGTCCTTCGGGCTCTAGGAATAGGGGCGGGGCTTGTCTGTGTTGTTGTCTCTGAAGTAGTGAGCGAGGATTGTGTGCAGGTAGGAGGAGCCAAATCTCCATTGCATGGGTGACAAGTGTGAGGGGCAAGCTTGGCACTGTTCTCGGGGTGTCGGTGTGTGGGAAGGGCCAGAGCTGCACTGTACTGGGGTGTCAGTGTGGGCGGTGCCAGAGCTGCACTGTACTGGGGTGTCAGTGTGGGCGGTGCCAGAGCTGCACTGTACTGGGGTGTCAGTGTGGGCGGTGCCAGAGCTGCACTGTATTGGGTTGTCAGTGTGTGGGGGAGGTGCCAGAGCTGCACTGTACTGGGGTATCAGTGTGGGCGGTGCCAGAGCTGCACTGTACTGGGGTATCAGTGTGGGAGGTGCCAGAGCTGCACTGTACTGGGGTATCAGTGTGGGAGGTGCCAGAGCTGCACTGTACTGGGGTATCAGTGTGGGAGGTGCCAGAGCTGCACTGTACTGGGGTATCAGTGTGGGAGGTGCCAGAGCTGCACTGTACTGGGGTATCAGTGTGGGAGGTGCCAGAGCTGCACTGTACTGGGGTATCAGTGTGGGAGGTGCCAGAGCTGCACTGTACTGGGGTATCAGTGTGGGAGGTGCCAGAGCTGCACTGTACTGGGGTATC